GCAAAACGAAGAGTCCTAAGAAGCTGCTCTACTTTGGGGTGTCTTGTCAAGATTTTTATATACTCAGTTGGTTATTGTAAGTAATAAAGTGATATTCTGAAGTTATTCTCTGTTCTATTTCTCTTGTCTTTAAAAAGGGAAAAGGAACCATTACCGGGTTATTAACAGGCTTCCACCCAAAAGCAAACAACCGAGGCACCTGCATTACTCAGTAASAATCCGCACTCATGGGGTGGGGGGCAAAAATGCCAAGGAACGTCCTGGGAGCAGAGAAGCTCCTTGTTTTACAGCGTTCCTCTAGCGCCCTCTCCTGACAACTCTTGTCAGTTCAATAGTCCTGCTCCCATTTGGGGTTGAGAGGCAATAAATTCATACCCAGCACATTGCCAGAGTGAATTTGCCTTTTAACAGAATCCCGAACGTATGATTTTTGCAGCTGAGCTACYGGGGAGGTGGATGGAGTATGCCAAGAGAAGGGGGCACTAATGTACTTGGGGAAGACATGAGGATAATTAGAAAACTTGGGTAGGGAGTCCCACATGTTGAGTGGACAAGGGCTGAAGCAACAGAGAGGGTGGAGGTTTGGGTAAAGCGCAGGCTCAGTAAAGGGACTAGGAAACAATGTCCTTTGCTTCTAGTGGGCTAGAGCAGCATAGTGGAAGCCGGTGGGCAAACAGGGACTGTGGAGTAGGCGCAGCCTTGAGAGTGCGCGCGCTGGGGACACCGAGCCCCRGCCCCCACACGTGCTACGCACGTCAGCGCTTTTGATTGGTGCACGGGCTGAGGCCACGCCCCCATTTGCGTCCGCATCTTTGATTGGTGCGCGAGGCCGAGGCAACGCCCTTGCCGGCGGGCGGCTGCGCAGCGGCTGRCAGTTGAGGAGGGCGTGTGTCCCTCGTCTGCGGAGGCGGGTTGTAAGCCTGCAGCTGTGGGAGTGTGAGACCCTCGGACCTTTCTTGCTCCTACTTGATTGAGTGGAGTTGATGTCCTCTATCGCTGCTCCCGGACGCACACGCTGTGGGAGCCGCACTGTACGCGGACAGACTCACACTCGCGGGGTGTGAGAGGCGTCCGGCCTTCTGCCCCCACTTGTGGAGACCCACTTGTGAGAGACGGTGCGCATTCCTTTTGGACTTAGGTTAGGGAAAGCGAAGGTTTGGGAGTCGGTGGAAATTGGTTATGGTCCTTTTGCCGGCTGTAGGAGTCTCACCCTGCCTCCCAGTCTCATCTGCAGTGAGACTCACACCCATCTCCACAGGGCCTGAAGCAGGAGATTGAAGCTAAGGGCAAAGTGCGGGCGGAAGGGCGTGCACTGGGAGTGCAGGAATGTGAGGAACCCAGAGTCTGAACTTTAAGGAATTCTTGAGTATGTGCTCTCCTCCCCACCAGGAACACAAATGTGCAACAAAGCACTAGAAACCCAACCAACACACGCGSCCTGAACGACCCGAATTAATCAGACTGATGGACTCGGGAATTTTATTTTGACTAGTTCACAATGTATTTGGGATGATTCGAATTTCTGACTTTTAGGAATAATCCTACCAGGACATTCTTGTATAAGGCTTTTACTACCCCCCCCCATATATATTTTTGTTCCTGTTTATTATCCTATAATAAAATTAATYACACCAAGGGGTGTAATTAATTTTATTTTAGGATAAGCAGGGCTTCTCAACTTTGGCACTGTTGTATTTTGTCGCATGGAATTCTTTGTTGCAGGATCCATTCTGTACAACTTCACATCCTCTACTTAGACATTGTTAAATGTCCCCGGGATGTGAGGCAAACCTGCCCCACTAGTTGAAAACCACTGGTTAGCTATTTCACTTCTTTAAGAAATTGCTAAGGCATTCCTTGCACGCCCACTAGTGATTAATGAGTCTTTTTTGCTCTAAATGCTCGCCAAGGGATTGACAACATTTTTTTACGTCAAAAAATACCATTGTCGTGTGTATGTCAAGATACCTTGTTTTAGTTTTCATTTGTATTTCACTGATAGCTTATGAGGTTAAACTATTTTTCCTGTTCGGTTTTTTTCCCCCATTAAAAATTAATACTGGCTTGTAGCAGTGATTTATATACTCTGGATATAAATGTCTTGTTAGATATCAGTGTTAAAAATACTTTCTTTCAATCTGGCTTTTTTTTTTCGTTTTTCAAAAATTTAATTTTTAAAATTTCTTTTTAGTTGACAAAATGAATAGCATGTACAACGTGTTTTGAAATATGTATAATCGTAAAGTGGGCTAAATTAAACATAATAAATGCAAACATCACATACTTTTTGTGGTGAGAACATTTAAACTTTAAATAACTTTTGAGAATATAGTGCATTGTTATTAGCTATAATCACCATGTCATATAATAGGTCTCTTGAATGTATTTCTCCTATGTAATTGAAATTTTATATTCTTTGACCAATATCCTTCTGACCCCCACAACACCCTTATCCCACCCAGCCCCTGCTAATCTACAATTGTACTTCCTTAGATTCCATGTATAAGTGAGATTGTGTGGTATTTGCTTGGCTTATTCACTTAACATAATGACCTCCAATCCCATACATATTAATAAATGACAGAATTTCATTTTTCTTTATAGCTGTATAATATACACATTTTAATCCATTCATTAGTTGATGAGTGCTTATATTGATTACCTATATTGGATACTGTAATACTGCCATGAATGTGGGATTTGCAGATCTCTTTGATGTAATGATTTCATTTCTGTTGAATATAAAACTAGTTGTGAGATTGCTGGAACATGATAGTTCTAGTTTTAATTTTTGAGGAACTTTTGTACTGTTTTTTGATAATGACTGTATCTGTCTTTTTTGATAAAAGCCATTCTAATAGGTATGAAGGGATATCTCACTTTGGTTTTAATTTGAATTTCTCTGATGATATTGAGTATTTTTTGATAGACTTGTTAGCCATTTATATGTCTTCTTTTAAGAAATGTCTATTCAAATTATTTAAAAATCTGATTATTTTTTTTTCTGTTGCGTTTCTTTTTTCTTATCTACTTTGGATATTAACCCCTTTGAAAGTGTTTTTGCCCATGTTGTGGTCCTATCTTCACTCTGCCAATTGTTTCCTTAGCTGTGTAGAAGCTTTTTAGATTGGTGTAATTCTATTTATTTTTGTTTCCTGTGCTTTTGGGGTCTTGTAAAAAAAAAAAACAGCCTTTGTTTGCCTTTTTCAGTATCCTTAAGCATTTTCTTTATCTTCTAGTAGTTTCATAGTTTCAGGTCTTACATTTACGTTTTAAATGCATTTTGAGTTTATCTTTATAACTGATGAGAAATGTATGGTTTAGTTTCATGCTTCTGCATGTGGATATCCAATTTTCTTAGCACTACTTATTGAAAAGACTGTTCTTTCTCCAATGCATGTTCTTAGCACTTGGCTGTAAATGTGTGGATTTACTTCTGGGCTGTAGTCTGTGTGTCTGTACTTTTGGATACTTTGTGTTATATTTTGAGGTCAAGTAGTATAATGCCTTCTGATTTATTCTTTTTGCTAAAGATGGCTTTGGCTATTAAAAGGTGTGTGTGTGTGTGTGTGTGTGTGTGTGTGTGTGTGTGAGAGAGAGAGAGAGAGAGAGAGAGAGAGAGAGAGAGATACCATATGAATTTTAGGATTTTTTTCCAGTTCTTTGAATAATACCATTAGTCTTTTGATAGTGACTGCATTGAATCTGTAGATAGCTTTGAGTAGCCATACATGTTTTCTTGATTTTAGCTTTTATGGGCAGACATTTTAGATGTTGATTTGAGTCCTTATCATCTAGTTTAAGAAAGTAGCAATAGAGATTTTCTGTTTTTATGTATGTGTTATATTCAGAAAGAGTATTTGCAGGTGTAATTGACTCTAGCATCATGTTCTTTTCTCCAGATAAAATTGTTTTATGCCAGGCAGCTGAGGGCAATTGCAATCTAAAGATTGTGATTGTTTGAGGCTAGATTGCAATCCCTGCAAAGGCCAGTCTCCCTCAGGTTCATCTTTAATTATAAGGTGAAATCCTAATCTCATGTCTCACATATCTGGTCCTGAATTTGAACGATCTTTCTCATAGTCCCAAGAATTCAATCTGGTGTTCAGGTTATATTGTTATTGTTAGAGCTGGAATTTTTATTTAAACAGTCTGATTTCAGATTCCTAGTATTAAACATAAACTGCTGTGCCATCCACACCATGAGGGATGGGTTTTATTTGTTTTGTTTCCTATTATACACCTTTACTAATAGGGCACAAATTTGCAGAACAAATGTTTATAAAACATAAAAATTAATTCATAAATTAATAAGAACTAACTTTAGTTCATTTTTGCTGCTCTAAAAAAATGCCAAAGACTCTATGCATGGCTTATAAACAGAAATTTATTGCTCACAGTTTTGGAGGCTGGGACATCACAGGTTCATGTGCTGGCAGATTCAGTGTATTGGGAGGTCCCTTTCCTGGTTCACAGATGGTGGTCTTTTCTTTATGTCTTCGTATAGTGTAAAGGATGAGGGATCTCTCTGGGACCATTATTATAAGTACACTAATTCCATTCAAATCACATCCCAAAGTCCCTATTTTTAAATACTGTCAAATTGACTGTTAGGATTTAACGTGAATTTGCAGGGGACATAAACATTTAGTCTGTTGTGAATCCATTCGTTTTAGCAATTTTGTTAGTGGCAGTCATTTCCAAACCTAGAAACTTACCTCAGTAACTCATTGATATTTGTTTTTGTATTTGACATTTTTTACATATTAGAATCTCCATAGATATTGAATAAATTAAAAATTAGGGATAAACTACTTCTCAAATAGTTCAAATGCTTATTCTTTCTTATTGTCATTTTTAAAACTTGATTAGAAAATTAAGTGATTTAAATTTAATTTACTCTTTGAAAATCTACATGTCATTAATCTTAATTTTCTTTTCTTAAAAAAAAACCAACTTTGCTCCCTCCATAGAGTTAAACTTCCACTCCTTTTAGAAGAATGAATTTGTTTGGGTACAAAAAACTTATGATTCTTCTCTGGAAGAATTTTACTTTGAAGGTAAGTTGAATTGTTTATATTATTGTTTTATACACTATTGTATATACAGTACAGAAGCCACTGGGTGAAATTACGACAACCTAATCACTGAATTTCAGTTTATATTGTTTTACTTTTCTTGGATCCAGGACTGGGGCTATCTGATCCAGACCGAATCTCCACAGAGTGAAATAGAAATAATAGCAGATTATAGAAAGGGGGAAAGAAGGCAGTCCACAAAACTGCTACTATCATAGAGTAAAGCTATGCTTATTGTCTATCTATTCCTTATGCAGTATCTTGTTAATATAAAAAAAAAAATTAGCCACTGGGTATGGTGGTGCATGCCTGTAATCTCAGTAGCTCCAGAGGTTGAGACAGGAGGATGGCGAGTTCAAAGTTAGCCTCAGCAATGGTGAGACACTAAGCAACTTAGTGAGACCCTTTTTCTAAATAAAATACAAAATAGGGCAGGAGATATGGGTTAGTAGTTGAGTGCCCCTGAGTTTAATCCCTAGTTACCCACCCTTCCCCCCCAAAAATTAGCCATTTGCGTACCTAATGATCTCTGAGGAAAATCAACATAATCTTGTTTTTTCACTCTTATAGAGGCGGAAACTTGTGGCTTTAGTTGTGGAAATAATTCTGACAATTTTATTTGGTATTATACTTTTGGCAATACGCAAGTTTATTATCATAAAGAAGATTGGACCTTTCAGTTACAATGCTCATCCCATCAATGATTTGCCTTCATTCATCAGATCTCCTGTCACTGATTCTTATCCTTGGGAATTGGCTTACGTGCCTTCCAAAAGTATTGTGGTACAGAATATTGTTGAAAATGTGAAAAGAGATTTAAACACTAATTTGAAAGGTCAGAAATTAAGGTTTTCTGAAAAAGCATTATTAAATTGTTTTAGCAAAAACATATTTGTAATCTTTTTAATTGGGCATTCACCTTTGAAGGAAAACATTGTAGTATGATATTATAAACTTGAGGGTTAAATTTAAAAAATCGTTTTCCCCCCATCGAGCCAAGAACAAATGCTTACTATTAACCCTCTTCTTACACTGATAAATCTGCAGTTTCATATCATAACTTCTCATCAGCAGTAGTCCCTAAGGAACAATCACAGGTTTCTTTGATACCATGTTTGTATCACAAAATAACATACCTGTTAGCATTTTGGACTAGAAAAACAATACTTTTTTTCAAAACAAATTGGGTTATCCTTGATATCATCCCCAGCCCTTTTGAGACACAGTAGTGTACTCAGATTTGTGCTAGAATATTGGATACTCCCCCTGGCCATAAATTACCAGTATTAATAGCAAGTCCAGAGAAATCCACGTCCTGATAAGTGCCCTGAGATTTGTGGAAGTTGGTGAATGATTTTTGAAGGGGAAGAATAATGGCATCAGAGTATGAACTGGTCCTATGGAGTCACATCTGAAGCTGGGATGTGTTTAATTCATCTAATGATGGAATGCCATCAACCTTGGGGAATGATTTACATTGCTAACTAGAGGTCAGCTTTGAAGTTTGGGCACAAAAAAATAGTCCAGGAGGCTGGATCTTCCTCAAGTACATGCCTTTAAGATAAATTATTGTGAATTCATGGCATCTCCCAGGCTAAACATTATCCAAGGGTCACCAGAATCAGGGTCACCTCCATAATTTGACTTTGTACTTTCTTCCTTAAGCAAAGCTATTCCTTTGTTTTATGACACTTATAGGAATGACTCATTTTTATGCAAATGTAAAGCAAGTATCCAGCCAACACAGTCACCTAAAATGCAGATGTTTTAAAAGATGAAATACTCACCAAGGTCTCATGTTTCCTAAACAGAAAAACCACTAAGATGGAAGATAATTCTTTGGAGTTGAGTTTTGTTATGTTTATAGAATTGTTTGTAAAAAAAAAATGAATGGAGAAAAGTAGCTAAAGGAATTGACTTTATGAGAGTCTTTGTGAGATACAGAAATGGTGACATACCTTGCAGTCCAGGTGACAAGTATGGCAGAGTGTACTTTGGGAGTAGGAACTTTGGAAGCATGAGATAGTACTTGTAATGAGGATGATGGTGCCATTGGAAAAATTGTGACAGTCAAGTCACAAGACCTTTATTTTCATGCTTGGGCTGTTGGAATTCTTTGGTATGCTGTTTACTCCTAGTAAGATCTTTAGCATACACAAATGCCTATACAGATATATTAAATGACTGTGTATTTTGACTTTGAGGGGTGCAAATAGCACCATAGCCTTTTCTAATATCAATTAGGTTAAATGTTTAGGCCAAAGTCATTCATTGATCAACTCAAATACTAAAATATTATTACATATTAAGGGAATCTTTTATTCATATATCATGGTATATAGTACTTTGAATAGATTGCATTTGATCAATTTTTTTCTAATTTCCTTCAAGACAGAAATTTCAAAATGCTCTTTAGAGCATTCTTTATCCCTTTGCTTTCTTCAGTATGTATTTTATTATTATTTTAAACTTGTGATAATTTTTAAACTCCCAACTATCCATTAGTTTGTTATGCTAATATTTGAGTAACAGTGTTTTGAAATTTGTGACATTTGATGGCCTTTCATTCATCTCACAGATAGGAGGAAGGGCTATCATACATTTTGCCTTTATATGGACAACTCATGAACTAGATTTTTTTCTTTTTAGTTATAGGCTTTTCTTCAGAAAGAGCTTTTGAAGATTATGTTGAGCAAACTAATAACTCTAAAAATGTTCTGGCTGCTATTGTATTTGATCATGTCTTCCAAAGTACCAATGATCCTCTCCCACTTAAGGTGAGAAAGCTTTATGTAGAAACCTCATAATTGTATAGTCTATTTCCAGAGATTTAATGAAATGGAGGTATCATTCCATTAAATAATGAGGAGACTATAACTTGCCCAAAATCATACATGGCAGATGCTTGAATGGTGTTTCTACATTTATTGAGCCAGTGTTTTGTGATGTGGAAAGAATCATAATCACCACCTACCAGACCTTATTCATAAACTGACATCATAGAAAACACTGGCAATTAAGGATATAACTCAGTAAAAATTAAGTTAAGAAAAAAATCAAGAGAATATGTTAAATAAAATTTGATACAATAAAATCTGTTAAATAAAATTTTATTTGTTAAATTAAAAAAAACCAAGGATATATCTTTGTCCTCTATCTGATATGGTAGCTGTCTCTAATTCCACAGGTGATGCTGAAGCAAATTCCCATTTTCTAACACCTGATGTGATAAAGTATGTACGTCTTCACTAGCCAGGTTGAATCAGAATTAGGACATCTGTAAACACTGAGGAATACTCTGATAACCAAGTATAGAATATAGATGTGTGTGAAGCCAGAATTGTGCATTTAGGATATATATGGTTGTCAGTGAAACAAAAGAGTAAGGAAAATCATCTGTTTGGTGTAGGAAGTTGTAKATATCCATTCTTTCTGTCCTGTCACTTCCACACTGACTTCCTATGTGTTAACTTTCCTCAAGTGACTGACTCAGTGTTGGCTGATGCAGATAAAGGCTCAACAGTGTATATAAAACCTGGTCAAAATGTTTTTGGTGCAATTACAAACCTCATCTCTTCTTRGTTCTGTACAGTCTCCGTCACCCAGTTCCCTCACTTGCCTTACTCTTATTTTTATAATTGTGCTATGATACTACATTGTCTCTCCTGCCTATGTATACTTCATCCCCACAAAAACATATCTCATCACTGAATTTATACTTAATATATAGATGTTGTGCTCCTTCAGGAACAGGAGCTCTCTCTGAGCATGTAACAAGTTTCTTACCTGCCCCTGCTTACATTACTGATTTTTCTGGCCTGACCTTCTGACTTGCCAATTCTTGGTCCATATGTTGTCTCAGAAAACCACTTAGGCCTAACATGATATACCTTAAAGTATACTAGCTATCCAGAATTATTATTATCTTTTCATTAAACAATAAATTATGTAATGGTAATCATTTACATCTTATATCCTTTCTCTGTCCTCCTGTAAGATTCTTATGTTGCAGTCACTTCTAGAAGAGGAAGAGATTTTCCTCTTAGAACACTTGACTGACATTGACTGACAAATGGGAAGAGTAATAATAATGCCTTTTGGAATATGTATTCTCAGTATGCATGCCAGCTTTCTGTCTAAGGAAAGATAAATTCACAATGATGTACAAGTTGCTACTGTACGTGCTTACTGCAAACCTACAATATATATCCAAAAGTTATTGACACTTCGAAAAAAGAGGGCAGATTTAAGGGTGGTAGGCTTAAATTTTGATGGTATCTGAACAGGTGATGTGCCTTACGGCAAGTTTTCTCTTACGTCTTGATGTTCAGAATCTATTTTGATGCTTGTCAGTATATTTATATATTTTTTGCTTTATGGATATTGTGTTTTATTGTTCCTCCTAGGTTAAATATTATCTACGTTTCAGTAGTTTAAAGAAGAACTACAAGTTTTGGGATTCATTTGAAGCAAGTAGCTGGTTGACAAATTCTCTCTTTCCATCGGTGCCTCCTGTGGGACCCAGAAACCAACAAGAAGAAGATGGGGGAAGTCCTGGTAAGTAGATTTTTAATCATACATCTCTTAATAGTCTGTTTCATAATAAGAACTCATGTTTCCACCTTGTGATGAAAGCTGTTTAAATCATTTTGTATGCAGGGAAGCATTGATAAGCTGAACTTCAGAAAGGACAAGCCCTTCATGGGTGAGCAGAGAGCTCTTGTGGCTTTCATACCTGGAAACAAATGCCTGATATGGGTGCAAATGTGTCAGTCATAGCTAGAGGCAGTCTGTATACATGGGAAAGTGTTTTACAATAATATGGACTAGTAAGATGGACACAAATCTGAAGAGCTCTCCCTCCTCAAAAAATAATGTTTCAATTCAACTATTTTCTTTCCCCTAGTCCTAGGATTTTTGTGAAGTAGCCAACAGTGGAAGTGTGCTAGAAAGCAAAGAGAGCTCATGCAGTCTAATCATGGTTGTATTGTGGGACCTAATGGAATTAAACCCTAAGGAAAACCGAAACTCTCTGAAACTATAGACCTACCTGTCCTGCTTATAAGATGAAGAGATCAGGAATTTCAGGAGAGACATGCCAATACTGAAACCTTGAGGCTGTCTCTCCCTCTGGAGATAGCCCACATTGTCCCCTTGCTTTACCCCAAAGGATCTCTGTTTTGATATTGCCCCATTCTCCCTTAAGTGGATATCTACTTCTGTGCCTTAAAAATTTAAAAATAGATATTATTGAACAAAAATACAATATGTTAAATAAATTCATATATGAGATTAATAGCATACAGAACATGACAAAATAGTCAATAAATTTGAAGATACATAATATACATTTTGCAGAGAAAGATGAGGACTGACATTACTTGATCATATATACAAATGAAGTACTTTGATGCCACAGTATTTATGAAACTTGAAAACAATATGCTAAGTGAAAAAAGGTCACATATTGTATGATTCCATTTACATAGAACATGCAGAATAGAAAAGTCTGTAGAGACCAAATATTTGTGTTTTCCATGGACTATGAGGAGGAAGGAATGGGAAGTAAATGTGTAATATAGGTGTGGGGTTTCCTTTTGGGAAATTGAAAATGTTTTGGAACTAGGTAGAAGTATTTGTTGCATAATACTATGAATGTACTAAATACCACAAAATTCTGTACTTTAAAATTATTAATTTTATGTGATAGGAATAAAGAGAAATGTGATAGGAATAAAGAGAAATGAGTTTGCTATCTCTGATGATTAATCTCCATCATATTCAACTTGATTGGATTGATAGACTCTTCCTAACTAGTAAAGCATACTGCTGGGTGTGTTTGTCAGAGTGTTTCCAGAGATAATTGGCATGTGGGCAGCAGAATGAGAGGAAAGATCTGCCCTGAATGTGGGTAACACCATCTAGTAGGCTAGAGGCCCAGATGGAACAAAACTCAAGTTTGATTCTTCTTGAGCAAGTTTATCTACTGCTGTCTGTCACCCATGGACCTTAGATGCCAGTTTCTTCAGTTTTTTTGTGTACACTCACACCAGCAACTCTCTAAGGTTTCTAGGACTTTAGCCTCAGAATGAGACTGTATTATTGGTCCCTTTGTTCTGAGGCTTCTGGCTTCTTTGAGCAGAAGGGGTTTCTCTAGCTTTTTTGTATGTAGACAGTCATTGTGGGACTGCCCAAACTCTGATCATATAAGTTGATCTAATAAGTCCCCCTTTCTCCTCTTTTATTGGTTCTGTTCATAATGAATAAAAATCAGTCAGATAGTATTAAATGTTTCATATTTGGAATTGGAGGTATCATAAGTAAAGAGAAAGAAAAGGGGTACCAAATGTGTTTCAAGGTCTATTGGACATTTTTCAAATTTGATGAAAATTGTAAATTGATATGTCAAAGTGTAAGGGTCCGGCGGAACGTCGGAGTAAGAGACCACAAGAGACTGTCTTATGCAAAAGCAGAAGGGTGGGTTTATTTGGAGACCAGCATGCTGGGGCCCGAGCTCTCTATAGCAAAGAGAGATAGAGCCCTGAGAACAGCTTGAGCAGAGCTTATATACTTTTCTTGGAGAGGGCAGGGAGGGAAGTTCATTGACAGGTCAGGGCGAGTAAGCAGTTTGCCTGCAACCGAGTGAGGGAGTGTATCCTGAAGTTTGGCAGTTTGGGACAGCACATTCTGAGAACAAGATTAGCAAACAGTTCACAGTTGGGGACAACACATCCTGGGAACAAGATTTCAACAGTGTTTTGTTAAGCGTATAGAAAAACAGAATGACAAGTACCTATTTTATTAACCTTTCAAAAGAAGTTCTAAAAACCTCAGTCAGGATAAATATATCTACCATAATCATACACATAAATTGTAGAAAATCAGCAATGAGTAGAAAATCTGACAGGAACTTGTCAAAAAAAGATATATTACATATAATCGATTTTCATTATCTTCAGTGATTATATTCTTTAAAGTTGCCAAGAATACTAAATTAGCAAATGTTTAATCATTGTTCCAGGGGAAATATAGGATTAGGTTTCTATAAGCAATTGGTCACAACATTTTTGTCAACTCATCAACATATAGTCTAGTTTTATATGTGTTTCTGTTTTTAAAATCTTAATATCTGTGGTTGATTTGTAACACTGTAACACAACACATTGGCACTGTAATTCAAAAGGAACATTACAGACTTCTTGTTCTTAGAGAACATTACATTTTAAAGGTGAACTTACCAGCCAAAAGCATAAAAATGTGGAAAACTGATATGAAAGTCACATACTTACAGTTTGAGAGCTGTAAGAAAAAGAATTACCCTAATCTAAACAACAGAATTTTTTAAAAAGGAGGGTAAAGAAGAACCTCAAGGACAGATGGAGTTATCAAAAAAATCTAATACAATGGAAGGAGGCCCTCATCGTTATACAAAATACATATATGATGGTGTGAGGGGGGAAGAAAAAAAAGAGAGAAATGTGTCCCATTGGGTAGAGAGAGGTGATAGGAGGGGAGGGGAAAGGAGAGGGGGATAGGGAGGGCAGCAGAATACAGCAGACACTAGTATTGCTATATGTATATACGTGGCTGCATAACCAATGTGATCCTGCAATCCGTACACATGGAAAAATGAGAATTCATATTCATACCCCATTGAATCAAATGTTTGATATGTCAAGATCATTGTATTGTCTCCAGCAACTAATAAAAAATAAAAATTAAAAAAAAATCTAATACATTATCAGAGACTGAGATGAAGAGGAGAAAGAGAACAAAGCTGGGGGGCGGGAAACACAAGGGATAATTGTTATGTTCCTCATGACAAAAACATTCCTCTTCCCATCACGGGAAGGAGAATGCCAGTCATTCAGTGAGACYGCCTCCCACAGAAAATGACTGAAAGTTTCTCAGATTTGAAAAGAGACAGAAATCCACTGAAAACTAAAGACGAAAAAAAAAAATCTTGAAAGCAGCCAGAGGAAAATTAACATGTTACATACAGGGGAAAACAGTATGAATGACAGCCTATTTCAGAAACCATGGACATTAAAAGGAAATTGTAATTAATCAAATTACATTTTTATGTATGTACAATTGTGTTATGACAAGAACAAGACCCATTGTTCTATATAATTAATACGCATCAATAATCAAGGGGAAATTGTAAAATCTCAAGCATGGAAAGAAAATGTGTTGCCAGCAGAACATCCTAAGAGAATGACTAAAGGAAATTCTCTAAACATAAAGGAACTGATTTTTAAAAAAAGAAAACCTGAAAACATCTGGAAGGAAGGAAGAATATTATAGGCAAAAATATGGGTAAATATAATAGATTTTTCTTGAATTTTCTGAAGTATGTTTGATGGTTGAAGCAAAAATTTTAACACTGGTGAATGTAGTTCACATTATAAGTAAAAAAAAATTGACAATTCTATTATAAATGAAGGAGAATAAATGTATATAAAGGGAGTTGAAATTTCCGTACTTAGAATTATACTAGTTAGTTGTGAAAAAATTATTTGTAAATAATGTAATACAGAGAACAATGACTAACAAAGCTATGTGAAGAGTTAGTTAAGCAAAAACTATGGATTAAATCAAATGGTTGAACATATATAAGATTGAAATACCAAAAGGAGAAGTAAGAAAGAATAGAGCAAAAATTTTTTGAGGAATTAATGACTGAGAATTTTCTAAAAGATGACAGACACTAAACCACAAACCCCAAAAAAGCTTAGAGAACATCAAACAGGATTAAAATAGAAGCAAACAAATGGAACTCCCCATTTAGTCATATCTTACTCACACTATATAAAATCAGTGACAAGCAACAATAAATGTTGGCAAGATTATTGGGAAAGGGGTACACTCATACATTGCTGGTGGGACTGCAAATTGGTGCAGCCACTCTGGAAAGCAGTACGGCGATTCCTCAGAAAACTTGGAATGGAACCGCCATTTGACCCAGTTATCCCACTCCATGGTATATATCCAAAGGAGTTAAAATATATACTACAGTACAGTGATGCAGCCACATCAATGTTTGTAGCATCTCAACTCACAATAGCTAAGCTATGGAACTAACCTAGATCCTAATTAGAATAAGATATATTCCATGTATATATAATATGTCAACAGATGCATAAAGAAAATGTGGCATATATACATGATGGAATGTTACTCAGCCATTAAGAATAACAACTTTATGACATTTGCCAGCAAATGTATTAATCGGGAGATTGTCATACTAAATGAAATAAACTAATCCCAAAAAACAAAAGGCAAATGTTCTCTCTGATATGCAAATGCTAACACACAACAAAGGAGGGAGGGGAAGAATAGAAGTTCAGTGGATTATATAAAGGGGGATGAAGAGAAGGGAGGGGAGTTGGGAATAGGAAAGACAGTAGAAAGAATCTGAAATAACTTTCCTATGTTCATATATGAATACACCACAGTGAACCTCCACATAATATACAACCACAAGAATAGGATCCTAATTAGAATAAGATATATTCCATGTATATATAATATGTCAAAATATACTCTACTGTCATGTATATCTAAAAAGAAAAAAAGATCAATTACAAATGTTAAACCTTGAAGGTATTATATTGTGCCAACAAGGGAGAATTCACAGCTAATTTAATGTGAGAAACAATGTAAGCAAAAAGAGAGTGACATTTTCAAAGTGTTGGGGAAAAAAAACCCATTAACCCAGAAATCTGGTGACCCAGTGAAAACTTTCTAACAAAGAAGAAAGAAAGCCTTTCTCACGACAAAATTTTWAAAAATCTTGTAGAAATTTATTGCCAACAGACCTGTTCTGTATAAATTATCTTGTACTGCCTTTGCAACTTGTCTGCAAAAGCTGTTTATTTTTAAAAAATTAAAACTATATTTAAAAAAATATCTCCACCCAAAGTATCAGTAAGAGATTTTCTCAATCTAATAAAGCACATCTGTGGAAGATAGGTAGCTTATTGGTGAAATAGTGAACATTTCCTCCTAATATCAGGAATAAAGCAAAGATGTTTATTTTCATCAGTTTTGTTCAGCAAATTATTGGAAGTTCTAGAGAAAATATCAGAAAAAGAAGCATCATAACATTTGGAAAGGAAAGAGTGAAATTATCTTTATTTACAGCTGACACACTCATTGTGTATTTGGGTGGCAAAACTCTGATAGCTGCTCTGAAATTTAGACTATAACAAGAGCCTTGTTACAAAAATTAACTTATGTTGTTTGCCTTTGACATACAGTCATGTGTGGCTTCACATTGGAATAAAGTATGAAAAATACATCATTAGGCATTTTACACTTTCACAGCATGATCRTTATAGAGTGTTCTTACGCAAACTTAAGATGGCTACATCACTAGGTAATTTTATATGACCACTACTCCACTATTGTACAGGTGATCTATTTGTTGACAGAATATGACCATACTTTATTGTGCTTTTCTTTTGTTTTTGTTCAACTCAGCTATTTTTTGGTCTACAGTACTTAATCTTTGTTTTCTCATTTAGGGTACATCAGTGAAGGGTTCCTGCTTGTGCAACATGCCTTGGACAAGGCCATTATGCTACATCACAGTGGCACTGCTGCAGAAAAACTGTTTAATGGTGTTAGAATTTTTGTTCAGAGATTTCCATACCCAATGCAGTATCAAGATTTCTTCTATGTATTTGCTGGTATTTTTATCCCTTTAGTAACCATATGTATCTTCTCTTTGAATCATCTTATCTTAATTCAGTCCATTGTGTGGGAAAAGGAAAATCGATTAAAGGTAACTCTACTTTTCTTGTGGTAGATAGAGCTTCCCGGAAAATTTTGAGTCTGTGGGGCAAATTTATGTAGAAGATTATATTATTTCTACACACTCAAAAATGGTAGATGTTTATGTTTCAGTGGTAGCTAAGTACTTTTGACAATTACCCATAATTTTGTTTTAAATGTAATTCTTGGTATGAATTTTAGTTTTAGTTACAGAAGACTACTCCAAAGAATATTACTGATAGAATTCAAATGCAATCCTAAATGCCCCTCTAAGACATTTCTGAACTAAATAATTATCTGAACTCTTAAAATTATATCTAGAATGATTAAGATAAAATCCAATTCCAAGATACTATGATTCTGATTTTTTTTTCTTAAGAGAACTTTTCCGCTTTCTTGAGTGAATCTTTTCCAGTTTTGAGTTTGGTCCAGAGTATGTTGTGTTAAACCAGAGACTTTATAGTTCAAAATTCAGTTATCACCCAATTAACCAATGATTTATTCAATGATTTATTAGTATCTACTTAGTTTTATTTTATTTATTACTATCTACTTAGTATCTACTTTATTATTGATTTATTAGTATTACTTAGTTTCAGGGATTCTGATAAACCATGTTTTGACTCTATTACTCATTAACTCTAGAATATCATGTAAGATTTCTATATTATTTTCTAAATTGAGCTTAATTAATAAAATCTAACCTTCAGGATAGTACAATATTAAGTGAGATGTTATATGAAAATTTTTCTATCCAAAGTTACTATTGTGCAGTGTAACTGAGGAAATATATGTAGAGTGCTTAGTAGTACAGTGCCTGGCATGTAGTGAGTGATCAGTAATTATGGTCAGTTATTTCTCCTTTTCATTTATCTTCTTTATGTAATCATGAGTCATACAATTTTCTTCCTTTCCGTTGTTTGTGGCAGCATCACTTTAAAGATGGGCTCTCATTGTTTTTTACTCAGGGCTCTTGTTACTCATCTTCATATCCACTATCTTGCCTCCTAATCTACCATGTACTTAGTTATCACGTTAATTGTCCTAAACCACAGATTGGCATAAGTAAATATTAGGGATGTATTTATTTGATTGCTTTTTGAATACATTTCATTTAAGCATATACATTTTCTAAAACTTGTCAACTTTCTACTTCTCGTTTTGTTGTTATTTACCTCAGGAAATCCCAAAGATGACATAATTTGATGCTTCATTTATGTTTGTTTCTTCTGACTATAATACATTTCTTTCCCTTCTGATTAGTGAAGTTTCCTTTCTTGCCTCTTCCTCTAATTTCATACTTCTACCTCCTTGGTTTTCTCTATAACACTTTTTTCTTTATGCCCCCAGAACATGCTATACAATCAGTCAAGCTTTTAAGATTCTTTAATTAAAATTTTTTCATTGAAATATACATATACAGAGAAATGTGCACAAATCATGCATATGATTGAATGGATTTATTATAAAGAAAATATGCACTAAGAGTAACTTTGTACACATTTGAAAACATTTTCCCGAAGTTATGCACTAATCTAGCTTCTAACATCTTGAGTTCATTTTGTCTTTTAAAACTTGATAAAATTGAAACATGTATTATATGTAACTTTGTGTCTGTGTGATTCATTTAGCTAAATATGTAGATGTGTTTTGTGTAAGTTAATTAAGTTTTGATTCTGTGGTATGACCATTATTATTTGGGTTGTTTAACATTTACCTGTTATTACTGATACTCCTATGACTTTTCCTTATCTTTTTTGCTGAATGTTAGGTTATACATGTCACCCATTAGTAGCTAATGCTTGAGTTTTCCAATAAAATTCTATAGGTTTACCCATCCATTACCAATGCATGAAAATTCTTTTTTCTACCTATCTTCACAAGCATTTGGTATTAATGGTCTTTTCTAATGTTATCATTCCTGGTGAGTGTGTAATGGTATTGCATTGTATTGGATCATTCAGTTGCCAGCCTGTTTATACTGGAAACTGTATTTCTAGAAAATTCCTGCCTACATGGTTCTTTATTGAAGTTGACTAAAAATGAAGTGCCATCAAATAAACCAATAAATAAATGGGCCAAGGAACTGAACAGACATTTCTCAGAAGATGATATATCAATCAACAAATATATGAAAAAATGTTCAACATCCCTAGTAATTAGAGAAATGCAAATCAAAACCACTCTAAGAGTTCATCTCACTCCAGTCAGAATGGCAGCTATTAAGAATACAAACAACAATAAGTTTTGGTGAGGATGTGGGAGAAAAGACACACTCATACATTTCTGGTGGGACTACAAGTTGGTGCAGCCAATATGGAAAGCAGTATGGAGATTCCTGGAAAATTGGGAAAGGAACCACCATTTGACCCAGCTATCCTACTCCTTAGTTTATACCCAAAGGACTTAAAAACAGCATACTACAGGTATACAGCCACATTGATATTTATAGCAGCACAGTTCACAATAGCTAAATGTGGAACCAACCTATATACACTTTAGTAGATGAATGGATAAAGAAACCATGATATATATATATATATATATACACACACACATACACACACATACAATGGAATATTACTCATCATTAAAAGAGAATGAAATCATGGCATTTGAAGATTCTTATTGGCCTTATACATTATATTCTTAAATCTTTTAAAAATATTTTGTTAAAACTCAAAATACCACATAAACTACTAGTTCTGAAGAAAATATATTATTGATAAAAATGACTGCTTTTCTTCCTCTTTTCATATTAATTTTAGTGCTTCTAATTTTATAACTGAATAAACTGTATTTGTATTTCTTTACTACCTCCCGGAAGAGGACATGCTACAAAGAAGAAAAGATTAATTTATGTGGTTTATAGCCTTATTTAAGTATTCTTCATGTCTTATCAGTATTAGGTAAATTGCTGGGGAAATGATCTCTGGGCTTATAAGAATTACAGACTCATTAATAATAATTTTAATCAAGTTATTTGAAATTCTGAGTTTTGATTTCCTCCTCTTTAAATTGGAGATAATATCTACTACTTAACTCATTTTAGTTATGGTCATGAAATTATATAATTTTTGTAATGCATTTTTAAAACTCTAAGGTTCTTTATGGTTGTACTGTTTTTTGTGATAATTGATTTGTTTTAACTCTTCTGCAGGAGTACCAGCTCATGATAGGAGTCAGTAATTGGATGATCTGGGCTGCCTATTTCTTCACATTCCTCTGCTTATATTTTTTGACCGTTATTTATATGTGCATAATTTTATTTTTCAAGGCAAGTGTCTATTTGACTGTAGCATGGTACTGCTAAACTTTAATAGGGAAAACAGAAGTATGGTGGGAGCTCTTAAGGTGACTAGAGAATGAAAATGTGGCTTTTATTTATTTGCAGAAACTCAGATGCCAGTTAGTCTTTCAGCAAACTGTACTTTTTAAAAAATCTTTATTTTATTTTTATGTGGTGCTGAGGATCGAACCCAGCACCCAGCACATGCCAGGCGAGAGTGTTACTGCTTGAGCCACATCCCCAGCCCTCAGCAAACTGTACTTTAAACCTAGATGGGTGGACCATCTTTAATAAATGAATTCTTAATTATCCATAATCTTACTGAGTAGTGTTATAGTTTCACTAGGACTAATAAAATGTTTTAACCATATTTCATGGCTTCTTTTTTGTTTTGTTATATTGCTACTTAGAGATGATTAAACAGAGTTCCTGATTTTTTGCTAGATCGAACCTGCACCAATCTTCCAGTACAGTGATCCAGTTCTTGTCTTCATCTTTTTGCTGTTTTATGCCATCTCCCTAATATTCTATAGCTTCATGATTAGTACATTCTTTAATAAAGGTGAGTCTAAAATTTCTTATGTAAAAGATTATTAGTGATAAAACACAGATTATATTTGGAAGCTTCTTATAAACCTCACTCTACATTTTTACTGAACAGACAAATGTCATATGCACATGGAATGTTTTGAAAAAGAATGAAGAGAATATAGGGAATGAAAATTAGTATATCATAATATATATGTGGTAGTAGGATCATATTTGTTTTTTCTACCTTTAGTTTCTACCTCACATATTGTATCTGTCTAATCTTTCCACCAGGAAAGACTATTAGAAGGATCAATATCAGCTAGTACCTGATGATGAGCCTGGTTTATGTAAAAGTAAGAAAACAACAACAAAAAAAAATTCTCCAGTGAGAGAAAGGCTTTTACACTTAATTAATAGATGCTTATTGTTTGTTGTTTGTTTGAAATACATTGCCTGCTTCATAGAGCTGACCTTTGTGGCACAGATACACAAAATATTGTTTTAGTCAGAGTTATTTGGAGAACAACTGAAGTTGGCTAAAAATGAGGATATTTTGGACGATCAAAGAAAATTTATTATAAGGAATTGGTTCAGTGTGATTATGAAGACCAAGAAGTTCTACAATCTGCAATCTGTAACTGGAGACCCAGGAAAGCCAGTAGTTTAAAGGCCTGTAAACAAGAGGAGCCAGTGGTGTAAATCTAGTCCAGAGGCAGGAGAATATGGATGTCCAAGTTAAGTAGACAGTCAGGAAGAAAAAAGGGACGATTTTCCCTACCTTCACCTTTTTGTTCTTTCTGAGCTCTTGATGGATTGGATAATGCCTGTCCATTCAGAGAAGGACAATATTCTGGACTTATTCCACATGTTCAGATGCTAATATCATCTGGAAATAGACTCACAGACTTACCAGGAAGTAATGGTTAGTCTATGCCATAGTACAATCAGGTTGATACAAAATTAACCATCTTAAGAGAATAGACAGCAATGAAAATTAATGGAACATTGTACACATATAAAAAAGTCATAGATGAAAATATTCCAGGTTAAAATAGAGATAAGAATGCTGCCAGCGGGGAGAGGGGGGTTTTGAAATGTTTTATAAGGATTGGAAGATGGAAATAGGAAGTAAAGTCAGTGTGTACAAATATCTATTCATTTATACCTTTGGGTTAAATACTTTTTGCTAGCACAGTGTCTAATAACAAAGACAAGAATTGATTCCYTGTGCTTTGAGAATTATGTGGAAGCAATTTAAATCTACATTTCCCAATTACCAATGGAAGTTTAGTATGTGTTACTAGTATGAGTCATGTTTCCTTTTCTGTAAAATCTCTTAATTCATTCTGATTTTTATAACTCTTGACAACATCCTTCTTTATTTCTTGTAACAATGTTTTAGTCAAAGTCTATTTTTGTCTGATATTAGTATAGCCAACCCAAGTCTCTTTAGGTTATTTWCTTGGGGTACCTTCTGTCCTTTAACTTTCAACTAATGGTATATTCAGATTTTTTTAAATCCTTTCTGTCACCTTTACCTTTCATAGAGATTTTAATCTTTTTAAGGTAATTGTTAATGAGAATGAACTTGTATCTGCCATTTTATTTGTTTTGTACATGTCATATCTTTTTCCTTTCTCATTTCATCATCCATTTTAATGTCCATGTCATTATTTTTTCATATAATTTTTTTGTTCTTACAGGCAATTGGAAAACTATAATTAATATCTTAAATGATTTAATTTTAATTAATGCATTTTAGCTTCAGTAATGCACAGAAACTTTTCTGTCAAGCCCCAGACTGTCTTTGTTGATATGTTCACAAATCATGCCTTTATATTTCTGTGTCTATTAATATATTTATAATTATTATGTGTATTCATCTTTGCTGAATTCATTTATGAGCTCTGGAAGTCTTCTGGTTGACATTTTTGGATATTCTAAATATAGGATCATGTCATCAGCAAACAGAAATAATTTGAGCTCTTTTTTTCTATTCCTATCCCTTAAATATGCTTCTCTTGCCTCATTTCTCTGGCTAGCATTTCAAGGACTATGTTGAATAAGAGTGGTGAACGTGAGCATCCTTGTCTGGTTTCTGTGTTTAGAGGAAATACTTTCAGATTTTCTCTCTTTAGAATAATGTTGGCCTTGGGTTTGTCATATATCCTTTACAATGTTAAGGTAAGTCTCTTCTATCCCTTGTTTTTCTAACATTTTAAGCATGAATGGGTGTTGTACTTTGTCAAATGCTATTGATATAATCATGTGATTCTTCTCCTTAAGTCTGTGTATGTGGTGAATTAAATTTATTAATTTCTGGATGTTGAAACAACCTTGAATCACTGGGATGAAACCCACTTGATCATGACACACTATCTTTTAAATGTGTTTTATATGCAGTTTTCCAATATTTTATTAAGAATTTTTGCATATATGTTCATCAAAGTTATTGGTCTGAAGTTTTTTTTCCTTGATGTGTCTTTGTCTAGTTTTGATATCAGGGTGATACTGGCTTCATAGAATGAGTTTGGAAGGCTTCCATTCTTTTCTATTTCATGGAAAAATTTCAGAGAATTGCTACTAGTTCTTTAAAGATCTGATAGAAATCATCTGAGAATTTTGCCAGTCCTGGGCTTTTCTTTGTTGGTAGGCTTTTGATGTATGCTTCAATTTCATCGCTTGTTTTTTTAATATCCTTCTGGTTCAATTTGGGTAAGTCATATGTCTTTAGGAATTTGTCCATATCTTCAAGATTTTCTACGTTATTGAACTATAAATTTTCAAAATGGGTTATTTATTTATTTATTTATTAATCTTTTTGGTRCCAGGAATTGAACTCGGGGGCACTCAACCACTGAGCTACATCCCCAGATCTGATTTGTATTGTATTTAGAGACAGGGTCTCACTGAGCTGCTTAGTGCCTTGATTTTGCTGAGGGTAGCTTTGAACCCCGTGGTCCTTCTGCCTCCTCTATCCAGCTACTGGGATTGCAGGAGTGCACCACAGTGCCTGGCCTCAAAATAGTTTCTGATGATCCTCTGTAATGTCTGTGGTGATAATTTGCTGCCACTGAACTATTGTTGAGCATTTGGTCCCACAATTATGCATGAAGACTCTTGAGTCTTAAAATTGACAGTTTGTTTACTGAGGGAGAATGCTAAGCTGCAGACTGCTTTGTAATTGCACACAAATCTTTTCTAGATCAATATGAGGTTAAATATTAATTATGGCATAATATATTRAAAACAACTAACTTGATTGCTGGTATTAAGAAAACATTTTTTTCCTAGTGACAAAACAGGATATGTTCTCATAAAATCCCAGGAAAAATACACCTAAAGTATGTAGCAGGTAGAACAGTTGGGGCCTTATTTTTCTCCTTAAATGGGATCATTGTGCCCCACAAGAATTAGCCTAGGGTGAGAAGTTATTGCTGTCCTGCCACATTCGGCATTCCAGCCTCGTTGGCTTTGACTAATAAACAGGAACTCTGCATTTGGATTCTTCAGGGTGCACTTTCTATGACCTCAGGAATTAAAACCCCAACAATATTTCCTTTTTTATCTTGGCTTTTGTTAATTTGAGTTTTTTTCCCTTATTTCTTTTGCTTAGTTTGTCCTTTCAAAAAACCAACTCTATTTCATTGATCTTTTGTATTTTTTAAAATCTCAATTCCATTGATTTTTGTTCTGATTTTAATAATTTCCTGTCTCTACTGATTTTGATATTGATAGTTCTTTTTAAAAATTTTTTTTAGTTGTAGATGAACACACAATATCGTTATTTATTTTTATGTGTTGCTGAGGATTGAACCCAGTGCCTCATACATGCAACGCAAACGCTCTACGACTGAGCCACAGCCACAGCCCTGATTTGTTCTTTTTTAAAGGACCTTGGGATGTAATATTAAATTATTTATTTTGTATCTTTCTATTCTTTTAATATATGAGCTCAATTCTATGAACTTTTCTTTTAGATCTGCCTTCATACTGTCCCAGAAATTTTGAGGTGTTATATCAGTATTCTAAAATAAGAATTTTTTTATTTACCCTCTTATTTCCTCTGCTATCAATTTATTATTCCAAAGCATGTTGTTTAGTCTCTAAGTGTTAGAGTGGTTTCTATTTTATCTTATCACTGATTTCTACTTTCATTATGATCTGATAGAATGCATGGTATTATCTCTATTTTGTGTATTTGCTAAGATTTGCTTTGTGACCTAAAATATGATATATTTTAGAAAATTTTCCATGTTATGCTGAAAAGAAAGTGAATTCAGTTGTTGATGGATGAAATATTCTATAGATGTCTTTTAGGTCCATATTATTAGTTGTATTTGATAACTACAAAGTAATCTTTGTTTCTTCTGATAAATCTTGGTTTGAAGTCCATTTTATCTGATATGAGAATAGATACCTATGAGAATAGCTATCCCTGCTGGTTTATGAACCCCATGAGAGTGTTTTATTTCTTCCCATCCTTTCACCTTCAGTCTGTGGGTGTTTTGTCTGTGAGGTGTTCCTCATGCAGACAGCATATGTTTTAGTCAGCTTTTTCACTGCTTTGGCTAGAGGATCTGACCAGAACAATTTTAGGAGGAAAAGTTTATTTGAGGACTCATAGTTTTAGATGTCTTAGTCCATAGAAGGCCTAATTCGTGCCTCAGGGCTTGAGTTGAGGCAGAATATCATAAAGTCGGAGTGTGGCAGAGAGAAGCAGCTCACTTGGTGATCAGAAAGCAGATCCACTCTCCAGATACAAAATATACACCCAAGCTGCTGGGATTACAGGCATTCCCCACTGTATATTTGAGGTAGCAGCAAAATAATGCAAGAGAATGAGTAGGGGGTAAGAGAAGCAAGTATAAACTAGAGCTAGGATAACAAAGATAAGAAGGAAGATTGATTCCAGTCAATGCTTTAAACCATTAGATGAAATACATTCAAATAGGGTCAAAGTACAATGTTGACTGTTGGGTTAACAATTAAAGTTCCAGTTGAATAGTCATTTTTATGATCAAAGTTGACATTAGAGTTGTTTGTAGTAAAGCCTGTCAAGGTGAAGAAATTCTTGTTGAATCTTGGTTTTTATTTTATTGCAGTTTGAACATTTAGCATTTGTCCATCAGTCTTTGGCGTGGCTCTCTCCCTCCCAAGTTGTGGGTCACAGGAGCCAATTCCATAGCTGCTAAGACCTCCAACCAGCAGCTTCTGGTTTGTTGGCTCAGGGGTCTGCAGCTGATTGCTCAGAGGATGCAGTGTTGTGGCATGGCTGCTTCTAAGGCAGAAGGATGCAGGCTCTGCAGTATCCCTATGATTGCTATGGTTCACCATCTACCAACCCCCATTTACTGGATTTTCTTCAAGGTATTGAAGATCCTGGTGTTGTCTGTGAGTGCACGATATCTGGTTGTGTTTCCCATGGGTGTTTTGCAGTACAGAAGTATTACCCTGATTGAAGCTGCTCTGTAAGGTATTGCACTGAAGGATCTCAGGTGGTTCACCAGACTGTAGTTACTACTGCCCCAGGTTGTGAATGGTGGATATTGATCCCCTCTGTTGCTAAGTGTGTTGCAAGATCCTGAAAGTATCCCAACAATGGCCTTTCAAGGTTAAATCTCTAGTATCAAAGAGAGTATGCAGCACTTACAGCTGCGAGTTTTTGGTGGAACTCAGTAGGTTCCTCATTTCCCCTTCCTCACCACTCTGTGAGGGACCACACCCTTTCTTGCAGGCTTACCTCAAGTCCCTGTTTGGGCACCAGCTACATGGACTCTCTCTCTCTCATCCAGGGAGGAGGTCCACAGAACAGGGTAGAGGAAAGTGTGGCTGCAGAGTTGCTAATCAAGACCTCTGGAGACCGAGATGGAAGCAGGTCTGATTTTATTGCACAGTTACCGGGTATAAATACTCAGGCAGTAGCTAGGCAGATTATAGGCAGCCACCAATACAATTTCTTGCTAATTGTTCTTAGAGCAAACAATCAAATAGTCAAGAATAGTGGAAAAGTGGGCCATGGAGCAAAGCCCCAGGACTGCAACACATGGCCTCAGGCCCAGGGCTGTGCCTACAGGGTAAGCGGTTTGCTGCTCATGCACCTAGCATGAAGGGAGTGGCCTGCCACTCAGACACCCTTAATGTATGCCATGTATGCAGTACACCTTGCACTTTTCCCCACTTATTTCCATTGAATCCTCTGGAGGTTAATGTCACAATATTGTGGTCCCTTCCCCCTTGGCTGAATCCTCCTGGAATCTTTAAGTCTTAATTTTAACTACACTGAGCCTCAAGTAATATGTTAATGACAGTTCAGGATTTCCAGCCCCAACACTGCTTCTCTCCACAGTTTCTGCTGGTGTCTGCTTCAGTAAGCCATGATTTCCTATATTTACCAGTCTGTCTCTGGTCTTGAGGCCAGTGATTTGTTATGTGTTCTCCCTTCTTGAAAAGATGAAAACAAGAAAGTGGATTTGTGTTTGTGCATTTCTGTTTTTTAGTGCTCATTAGATGTGATACTTCTTCTAAACTCATTACTCATGGAACTGGAAGTCTCCCCATTTTTGAAGCATATGGTTCTCTCAAATAGAATTTATTAGTTGAAAAGGTGTTTTTTGTTTTGTTTTTATGTTCAGCACTTTAAAAATGTTACCCAATTGATTTTTGACCTTTATATTTCTGAAAAGAAATCACTCTTGAACATTATAATATGCTTCTCTTTTACTACTTGATGCTCTCCCCACTGGGGATTTAACCCGGGGCCTCATGGGTTATCAGTGTTTTATCACTGAGCTATACCTCTAACCCCCTGCTTTCAGCATTCTCTCTTTGTCTTTGATTTTTGACATTCTTATTTTAACTGTGTCTCAGTGTAAGTTTCTTTGATTTTTTTTTTCCTCTTTGAAGTTGAACTTTTTGAATGTTTAGATTTATCTCCCTGCCCCAAAATTTGGGACATTTTCAACCATATTTATTCAAATAACCTTTCCAGCCCTTTCCATTTTCTCTCATTTTCTCTGCATATGTTAGTTCCTCTGAGGTCTCTTAGGCTCTGCTAATTTTTAATTCTTTTTTTATTTTTGTACTTTGAGATTGTATAATGTTAATTATACTATTTTCAACTTTGCCAGTTCTTTTCTTTGCTCAAATATGCTGGTAGACCCCTCTGATAAATTTTTATTTCAGTTATTTTATTTTAAGTCCTAGACTTTCTTTTTTGTTCTCTTTTACAGTTTATATCACTTTAACATTAATATCTCATTTATTCAATATTTTCTCCTCCCCCTTTAGGTATTTGAGCATATTGAGGACAGTTTATTTTAGTCTTGTTAAATAAGTCTAACCTCTGGACTTCCTCAAGGATAGTTTTCTTTTTCTAGTGAATTGGCCATACTCTTGTTTATTTGCATGCTTAATAAGTTTTGATTAAAACATCAATTTTTTACATGTTCTAGTATATGTATGTGGTAACTCTGAAAATCAGAATCACATTTTTGGAACTTTTAGTACTCTAGTTTTGATTTGAATTTATTTAATTGCTAGAGATGTAGAACATTTTTTCCTCATATTTGGCTTTTTTATACCAAGTTTGTCTTTCTCTATACAGGACTCCTCCTTGTCTCCTCATTATACCTGAAAACACACTCTAGTTATATTCTAATTATACCAGTAATTGTATTTATATTTAAAATTTCTTATGATGAGTGGTAATAAATAAAAGTATAAATTTCCATTAAATTTTATAATGTTCAGTCATTACATATAGAATGATAAATTTCAGGGGAAAAAAGTTCCTCATGTGTTTCATTTCAGGCTTTTCACTGAAAAATATTTTGAGCACCTACTGTGTTTCAGTTATTATGTGCTAAAGGAAGTATTGGTAAACAAAACAAATTTCTATTTCTCATAGATCTTATTTTAGTGTACTTTTATAAAAAACATATCCTTGAAACCTACTTAAATTTGCCTTATACTTTCCTTCTTGCTTGCAGTCAATTTTGCTGTTGCTTTGGGAGGTTTCCTTTTCTTTATCACCTACCTTCCAGCTACTAGACTCCTTGTCAATGCTGGACAGATGACATTGAAGCAGAAACTGATTTTCTGCCTCAGCTGTAATGTTGCAATGGCCCTGGGATTTAAATTCCTGCTTGATGCAGAATCAAATAGTGAGTATTTTACTTTGTAAATTTTGCCATGTTTTAGTAGGTTTATCTTTACTATCTTAGTGGATGTTCACAGTTTTAATTTTGATTAATATCACTAAACTGTTCTTCAAAAGCTTGTATTACATTATACCAACACCTATAGTGTAATATTAATGTTTTCACATTCTCTCCAAAAATTTACTGCAAGTCTGGTAGAACAGCTTCCTTTTACTTTTGGATTTGTCACTTGCTATCTAGTGGTATTGTGGGAAATAACACTCTACATTTAGTGGCCTCCTTTTTCCTTTTTCTGTCAATGCAGTGGACATGCAAAACACTTCTAGTTTTCTGTCCTATAGTCAGTATCTGTCCCTACCTTTCCATGATTGTTTTTCCAGAATTATATATCCAGTAAACATTTAGCATGAAGAGAGGTGGAGAGAGAGGAGCCACCATCTTACCCTGAAGGTCTGCTTATTTTTCTTTGAGCTTCCCCCACCCCTGTATTTTCTTTTTGTTTCAATCATTTCTAATTATCTTTTTGGGTATAATGAGAGACACTTTACATGAGTACTTACTCAGATGCCCTCTGGGGCAATCTAAATTCTAAGGGTGTAAGAAAGTGGTTGATTCTACTAGTAATCTCTAGAAAGTGCCACTATTTAATTATGATATAGCAGGATATCTGTTTTAGTCTCATTTGGCCTCTAATTAAATGTCTTCTATTATGTCTTAGAAACAGGAATTAAATGGAATAACATATTCTCATCAGCCAATCTGGACAACTTTTTATTTGCATATGTGCTGGGAATGTTTTTATTTGATACTTTCTTATATGGTCTTGTGACCTGGTATATAGAAGCTGTCTTTCCAGGGCAATATGGTGTGCCCAAGCCATGGAACTTTTTCTTGAAGGTGAGTTCTAATGCTTGTTATTCAAAGAGCTATAGTCCTTATGAGGTGTTTTTAAAAAAAAATCTTAAAAACCATCATAATTTAATTTTGCACTGTCTATAATTGAATCAATAGATGAGGTGAAAGAACTATTCTTACCTACCACCCCCCAACTTCACTAATTTGTTTTAGCTTTTTCCTAATGTATGCTAAGCCCTCATGTATTTATATAAATGTGTGCATGTGTGTGTGTATATATATACATATGTGTGTGTATGTGTGTGTGTGTGTGTGTGTGTGTGTGTGTGTGTGTCTGTTGTCTATGTACTCACAATCTGCTTTATTTCCTTGGTTAGCCAGGTTTCTTAGAGTCAGAATCATAGAAAAATGGGAAGCATGAACATCTTGCCTTCTATTATTTTTCCATATCCTTTTTTTGTGGGGGGTCAAAATGATAGAAAAGGGTTGGAGAGCTTTCATACTTTTTCATTCAATTTTGGCATTTTATGTCCAGGTTTTCATAATGTGCAATACAAACATTTAAAATTATGTTTGATGCTTAATATTTGACTCACATATTGCTCAGAGAAGATCAGGCAGAAAGTGATATAATTCTTTTACTATAACCTAGTATTGGAGCAATTTTCATATTTTCTCCCTTGAACAGTTAGGACTTTAATATCCTGCTCTGAATACTGTTGGATTCAAATTATAACCAATTAGCTTCAAATTATTTTTTAGCCCACTTTTTAATTGATTTTAAAAAGTGACAGCATAATGCATTACAATTCTTACTACATGTATACAGTACAATTTTTCATATCTCTGGTTATATATAAAGCTTCAAATTTTAATCCAAGGAATTTTCTAGAATATATCTCAATAAAAATGCCTGCTAACATTTATATTGAGATGGAGTACAGAAAATGGATTATAGAAATACATTTGTATTTTCTAATGATTCCATTTTCAGGGCCATTACAGTGATGATATTTTTATTCCCTTCTTAGCACTCTTACTGGTTTGGGGAACCACCTAAAAAACAACTTGAACCAATTCAACATCATGAGACAATTGAAAACAAGCATTTTGAAGCTGACCCTACTGATTTGGTAGCAGGTATTCAGATTAAACACTTGCACAAGGTATTATTTCACATACCTCTTTTTCTTAATGAAACTAATATTTAGCTTACATTCATTGTAAATGTTCATTATTAGAAATACCAAGAAAAAATATTAGGTGCAAATAAAAGGTTGTAGTCATTGTGTTTACTTCTTTTGGGAAATATCAAAAGGAAATTTATACAGTATATTATAAAAAGTCACATCTTTCTTCTTCCTACAGAATAAAATCATATTGCCTATAAACTGTAATTGTCTACTCTACAAATTATCTCATTTAAAATGCAGGATCTAGTGGAGCTTGATGTTTTGAATATGTGAACATAAATTTCTGGTCACAAATATTTTATATTCATATGTGAACATAAATTTCTGGTTACAAATATTTTGTATTCATCTGCTTGTAATCTGCCTGGGCATTTGATTGGGGGTGGGGGTGGGCCCTCTCAGTTTATTTGAATCATCTTCAGGTGTTCAGTATTCAGATAAATAGGTTTTCTGGCATTTTCTCACCTCTCAAATATCTGCTTAAACAGCCCACCCCCTAACTCCATAGCTTAGTGATATCCAAAGCATTCTTGAAAATTTGGCTATCTTTGTGAGATGTTTAATACTCTTATGGTCCCTTCTTCCTTTATTATGAAATATGATGTCTCTATATTGGTTACCTTAACCCAGATTAAAACTCAGTCTTTCCTGGTGTCAGGAGAATTTTTCATATCATTTTTGTGAATATTTATAACCTATAATATAGATGATTGATGGATGAGATTTGCTCAAGAAACACACCGGCTGTGATGACTTCCCCAAATCACCTTTTATTTCTCTATTCTTTTCTTGATTGCCCCTGAGAACCTCCTCTAATTGCCAAATACTTCACTGCTCCCCATATTTCCCTAAGACTTGCATATCCAGGATCATAACAAAGTTCAGAAGAAACCAAGACCTTGGGTCTTTTTCATTCATTCATTTATTCTTGGTGAAACAGCAAGTTATGGTCATTGTGCTTGAGGAACTTACATTCTAGTGTAAGTAAAAGTAAGTTAGCAATTAAATAAACAAGAAAATTACAATATATGATAAATTTCATGAGGAAAACAAAAAGGATGTAGAAATAGAATGGAAAGGAAAAATATTTCAGGTAGGTTATCCAATGAAAATATGGTCATTGTAAATGCTGATCACCCTCTATAAAAATAACCTCAGTTGAGTAGGATTATCTCACCCCAAATCAGGCTATTTCTGGGTCAGCTTAAACCAAATGACTGCTCAAAATGGAGATACAAAGGCCCAGCTCTTTCCTCCAGCTCAGGTCAGTTCTGAATGGTCATCCAAGCTACATAACTCTCTGTCAGTTTAACTTTGTTATTACTGTACTGCAGTCCAACCATTCTGTCTCCTAAATCTGTATCCTTCCCTTCTTCACACAGATGTTGGACCCAAGAGCACTCCTATATGCCAATCTCTGTCTTACATAAATGGAACCTAAATAGTGATTATTGGTACCCAGAATTGACTGAGAAAGCAGATGGTGAGAAGTAGACTGTGGTAGAAGGTAGCCATACAATGTTTATAGGTGGTGAATTGAGATGGTATACCTGGGAAAAGAAGGGTACTGCTAGTTGGTGACATGTATTTGAAAAATATGGGATAATTAATAATTATAAACACCATGTAATTGGGTGCTATTGTTAGGGAGAAGTGACACACTGGAGAAAACRAAAGACCATATATTATTAGTGTAAAATCTAGTGAGCTTACCAGAAATCATATAAAAAGTTCTCATCCTCAACAACCAAAGAGCAGAAAAATCTGAAAACTAAGCTCTACACTTACTCATAAGTCTAAGAGACCTCTAGGGCAGGGGTTGTGGCTCAGTGGTAGAGCACTCGCCTAGCATGTGCCAGGCACTGGGTTTGATCCTCAACACCCCATAAAAATAAATAAAATAAAGTTTTTTAAAAAAAAATGAATAAGAGACTTCTTTGAATGTTATATCTTCTCTTGCCACCATGAAGCCTTGATTAGAATGAGAAATATAGGACCCCAAATTCTGACTCATATTTTCTTCTTAACCTTCAACCTACAGAAATGATCTACTCCTTCCTTTTAAGAAATAGTTTTCATTCTCCACTTTTTTCAATATGCTGCAGTGGCCTTTGCCCCACAAGACAACCCATACACACTTCTGGCCATTAGGAAAATACCTTGAATTATGTTATAAGATGTAACACACAGCCTCCAAGATGACCTCCAGTGACCTACATCTTCAAATTTTCATGCCTTTGAATGGGGCTGACCTGGTGGTCAGTCAAAACTTCAGAAGTAGCAGGATTATTTTCCAAGCCTAAGTTATAAAAGAAATTTAAGCTTGAATATTGGTCTCTCAGATTGCTTCCTCATTACATATTAGTAGTTTGTCAACATCATTACTTGTAGTAATGAGAAACAGAAAATGTACCTAATGAACTGGTTGATTGATCTAATGATGTCTCCAGGAAAATTGGTGAAGGAACTGCCTAACTTCTTCTTTTTGCCTTAGGAGAAAAGGCAATAAATGTGAGAGGAGACAAACTCAAGAAAGAAATGTAAAATATAAAGAATCCAAGAATTGGTTTTGATAATTCCTAGCTTCTCCAAATGGTGGATGCTGTTGAAATTAAAAAAAAAATCTTTGAATCAAATATCAAATCTCAGTCTCTGTCAGAAAAACATGATTTAAAGTTTTGAAAGCCAAAATTGTAAAAAGTATTTTGTCATAAAAAAGATACAAAATGGTGTCTCAAAGGATTATACAATCATATAATAGAAATTCTAACAACTTAGAGAATTATCTATCAGGAGCTTCAGCAGAAAACAAAGGTAGAGAAAGATTGTCTTATTATATCTGTGCGGATGGCTTTTGTGGCTTAGGTTGAACCCAATGTTTTATATGAAGTTTTGCTAGAAATTGTACCAACTTGAAATGACAGAAACTACAAAATTAAAAGAGGCCTTTTGGCCTTCAAACTTCTACAGGTGGAAAGCACTCTGAAAAGAACTTGGCTTCAGACAGGGCTACCTTTCATGGAAAAGGAAGCATAATTAAGAAGAGTCCCGGAAGGTGGAGCCAAGAGCATGGGAAATCATTCTCTGATCTTGAGTCTTAATCAAAGTACTGCCAGCATACCAAGGAATGGATTCAGAATTTCTATTCACTCTTGTGTTTCTTGTTTTCCCCTTTTTGAAAGAAGGTGTGTGTAGTGGGTAACATGTTTATCCCACTATTTTATATTAGGTTTGTGGGGAAGAGTGAAGAATGAAAGATTTCATGTTTGTTTCACAGGCCATCAGAKTTAAAGGAACTAAAGTCTAGAAAATATTTTCAAGAAACAATAGCACAAGAGCCTAATTCACTCCTGGATTTGATTTAGGTTACAGAAATCTGGTCTTTGTGCTGATGCTTCAGCTGAGAGCAGGTGAAGGTATTTTGCATGTAGGAGGATATGAATCATTAGAAGTGGTTTCTAATTGGCAGCTTTCGTGATGCCCCCCAGCAATCCTCTTTCCCTTGCCTGTAACTCCCATCCTGTGCCTTCCTCCCCGACATTGAATTCAGCTGACCTGTGTGACCTGTGTAACACTACAGAAGTGATGGTACATGTTTTAGTGATCTTTTTCGCTGCTATTTCTTAAGGTCCTAACCAGAGCAGTTGTAGAGGAGTGAGTCTCTTTGGAGGTCAAGTCTTCTAGTCTCAGTCAAGCATTCAGTTGACTACATCCCAAGTCAACATTTTGACAGTCCAAGCAGTAAGAAATGTACTAGCAAGAGGAACATCAGCATCATTGAAAACTGCTGTTAGCAAGGGGAATTACTACCTCAGAACTGGACTGATAGCAGTGAAAATGATGATTCTAAAGTCATAGACACTGGTTGGTGGCACAGGCATGAACACTTTTTCTAACAACAAGTATTGAGTGGTAGTCTGGAGAACTTGATCCACAAATGATGATTGGTACATAGTTCCCTTAAGGCAAGGCAGATGGACAGCCAGCAAAGGTACTGCCCAAGCCATGCAATCAGAAGAAAGGATGAGTGGATCATCAGGAGTTGGAGTACAGGCACATAATATCAGTCTATGATCTTTCCATAGTTTTCAGGTTTCAGAGCTGATGTCTGTTGACAGAGGAAGGGCTTAGTTGTTAAAGAGAAACTCCTTGAAACATCACAGCAAATGAATGTGATAATGGTTACCATTTATGGTTGTGCATTTGCAAAGGGAAGCTATTTGCTTGGATAACCATACTTAGAGATCAAAAGAAACATCATTTTCCCCTTGTTAGGGCCAGGAATACATGCAGGATAGACAAAAAATGGAATTTAGACCCTTTTCTAGTTTATAAGGGTACATTAGAATCCACCTGGTGAGCATTTACACAGTTGTCAAATGTACCCTTGGAAAATAAATATTTGGAAGTTGGAATAATTTCTACAATGACTCCTTGCCTCTGGGGAAGAACTGTTGTACTAGGGAAGGTCATGTGTAATTCTTTGAAACTACCTAATTCCACTGGTCAAGATGGTAAATTAATTTTTGGAGGAGTGGAAAAGACTTTTTATTTAATATTTTTTAGTTGTAGTTGGACATAATACCTTTATTTTATTTATTTTATGTGATGCTGAGGCTCAAACCCAGGGCCTCGAAAATGTTAGACAAGTGCTCTACCACTGAGCTATAACCCCAGCCCTAGAAGAGCTATCTTTAAGCAATGTATAAGTAGTGGGGTCTCATTATATTATGATTTAACTCAACACTTTGTTCCTTGCAAAAGTCCATCCAGACGGGTTCTGAGGGATGAGAATGGATCTATTACAAACTTAGTAGTCAACCTAATTGCAATTGCTGTGCCAGATGTGGCATCTTTTATCTGTGATACGCCATTAACACAGCCTAAGGATATGACACAGTGCCATTGATTTGAGAAAATTCCTTTTTCCAACACTTAACTTTTTCAGGGTTATGAAAATTCCTTGGCTCTCT